AGCCACAAGTAGGCTGTAGTTTTCACGTTGACGAAAACTTTATTGACAAATCTACGATGATCATTCGTTGTTAAAATTCTTTACTTTTTAATAATAGTTGTGTTTAATAGAACGGAATTTTAATTAGTGCATGTTCATATATTTAAATACTAGATAGGTACTCGTGCAATGCAACATGATACATCTCTATTTTAATGTTTCATTTTATTCTGTCTCCGTTGATGTTATTCAAAAAATATATCGATTTTAGTATCAAATTAAATATATAAAAGTTTTTTTTTATGTAATTTCTTTAATTCAATTTTTTATTATAATTTAATTTAGATATAATCATGAAATCATTTATTTTTGGTTTAATAATACAGTTTTTTATAAAGATAATAATTAGTATTTTGTTAGAATTCAATAATCATCTTAAATATATTTTAAATTTTTTATATTTAAAATAAAATATTTATCCATCATTTGATTATGTTTATCTGTAATTAATTACACGAATTCAAACATAGAGCTTTAATAAGTTGTGTATAATTACATGTAATATTGAATTTTAAGTAATATACATCAATAAACAATATTTAATACATAAAAAATAATTTTGATAAGTTTTTATCAAATACTTTATAATTCAATAACGATATGAACTCGAAATATATAAGCGGTTGAATTCAAGTTTATCCATTAATATAATATTTATTCAAAGTTGTTTCCTAGGATTATAAAATAATCAAAATACACATTTCGTATATGAAAACTATGATGTGAACCTGCGAGTTTCAACGCAAGAAAAAGGGGCTGCCAAAAATTTATTAATATAAAATTAAAATTTATTCCAATTTAAAAATATAATTGTAAATTACATTTTTGGTCCTTTTAATTTGCTTAAATGTTGGATTTGTTTCCTATACTAAATTAAATTATCCATACTAATAGTTTTTAATTAACTTTTTTATTTCATAATATTCAAGATCCCTGAAGTTAATCACAATGGTGGTAACTGATTGGTTTGAGTATGGGCTTCAAGTCCCAGATTCGAATTCAAAGAGAAACAAAAATCCCCTTGTGGCCCAGAAGTTCAAATTTTGTGACTCCGGGCTATCCATGAAACGAGTGGTTGCCATGAGATTAGTTGTCTCGCATAGCAGGTTGGATATTCAGGTTAACTTAAAAAAGATCCCTGAAGTTGATGTTGTCAATTAGTAATCGTTAGAAGAAACAAATTAGTCTTTGAACAAACTACATGAATCAAAAGTGAGATTCACTCTAAAATTAGTTATGATTTACATTTTTTTTTATTAACATAGATATCCAACCCGCTATGCGAGCCGACTAATCCAAAGACGATCACCTGTTTTGCAGATAGCCCGGAGTCACCGCATTTGAACCTCTGTGACCACAAGAGGATTTTTATTCTTTTTGGATTTGAACCTGACACCTCCAGGTACTTTTGACCTTTGGAGTCAAGCTCAAACCAATCAGGCACCACCTTTGTGGTTTATGATTTACATATTTTAGTAAATTTGTGATACATATATAATAAATTTTAATATGAATTATACTTTTGGTCCTTGTAGTTTGTCTAAAGTAGTCTTTGTCTTTCCTAACAATTGTTTATTGACGATGTTAACTCCAGAGTCCCAGAGTGTTATGAAATTAAAATGATAGAGACTATTAGTGAAGATAGTTCATTTTAGAGACCAAATCCAAAATTTAAGCAAACCACAGGGACCACCAACATAATTCACTCTTAAAATATATTTTTGTATTTTTATTTTATTCAAATATTTAATTACTAATCACTAGTAGTTTTGTGGCAAT